TGTCTGTTTCAAGATATCAAGATGACCCAAACGCTGCTTGCAGTCTGTAAATCACTCAGATTACCACACATTATCCCAATCAAGCGAGCACAACATATCCTCTTCCTGAACACCTGCATGATGCAGTTGCCTAGCAACCGAGAAGGAACAGGGCGCCGCAAAGACCCGAATAAGGAGATATACTGAAATAATATTCATTATTTTTGCTGTATTCACTGAAATTGCTCTTTTTAAAAGCCATGTTTTGTGATGAGAAGAAAACAACCCGAATTGTCAACGGGCATCCCGCCACGCCAACCACTCAACCGATCACGTCCCTCCCACAGAGATGTCAAACTACAAATGCTCATCCAAGCAGCCTCCAATAATAGTGATGTGAAAATGTCTTTGATACTGCGGAAAATAGCCGCACAATAAGCAGACTTTTACGTTGTCAGAGACAAACAAGATCATTGACGTTATGTCAGTCGTATTCATGCGCTAAATATTATCCTTATAAGCGCGTCTATTCAATTGAGTCGACTTAGAATGATGTCATGGTTTCCAAGGCCAATTACATCGATCTCCTCGTTCGCCAAGGCAGATTGATAAAAATATTCGCTAGTTTTTCAATTTACCTTAAAACTTGGATACCGTGCCACATTGTCAAACACTAACAACCAACTAACATACAACATAGAAATTCAAACTGACGGCCTTCGAATTGTGCGAAATGCAAGACTTGAATTACCCACAATGCAACGGCGTTAATGTTTTCTGTTAAACCACTTGGTTGACGCTACATGCAAAAGCTTCTCCAGATTTAGATGTGTAAAATTAGTTTTTATAGCATAGACCAAAACATAAAGATTCGTTCTTGGTCGCTTGATATAAACTAACTAGTCAACTAGTCGGTCATTGTATCTCTGAGTCATCCAAGTTTAAATGGGGCAGAGTATGTTCGTACTGCTCTCCAAACCTGTTGATGTGCCTGGGTTGATTACGGTTGATAAGCTGTCCGAAAACAGTCCGATACGGTGAAATATACATTGATATGTGATTAATATGTGTTATTTAAATGCTTCTTAAATTTAAAGGGCGGCAGTCGTCGTGCCGCGTCCTGTTCGATATGGGACTCATAGCGACGTATACAACGCGTGTAAAATACATTGTTTATTTACATGAAATTCGAACATGCGCTGCGCGTCGACCAACGCGCTTCAAATGCTTAATGTCAAGTACGGTACGTTCTGAATCATAATATTGGGTATGGATGG